GTGCAAGGGGAAGGGGCGTGCAAGGAGAGTGCAAGCGGAAGGAGTGTGCAAGGGGCAGGGGTTGCACGTGCAAGGCGAAGGGGCGTGCAAGGGCGAGGATGCGAAATGGGGAGCGCAAAGCCTGGGTGCACAAGCGGGGCAGAGTGTGCAAGGGAGGTGCATGACAGGGCGTGCAAGGGCCAGCACATGCACAGGGGTGTGCAAGGGCTGCGTGTGCAAAGGGAATGAGGTGTGCAAGGGCCAGCATGTGCAAAATGGCCTGCAAATCCAGGGCAGGGTGTGCAAGGGATGCATATTAAGAGTGGAAGGGGCGTGCAAGGGCCTGTGTGTGCAAAGGGGTGTGCTAGGGCTGTGTGTACAGAAAGGAAGGGGTGTGCAAGGGCCTGTGTGTGCAAAGGGGTGTGGAAGGGCCCTGTGTGCGGAGAGGACAGGACGTGCAAGGGCCAGCACGTGCAAAGGGGTGTGCAAGGGCTGCGTGTGCCAAGGGGACGGGACGTGCAAGGTCCAGGATGTGCAAAGGGACATGGGGGGTCTGTGTGTGCAAAGGAGACGGGGCGTGCAAGGTGCAGAATGTGCAAAGGGACACGGGGGTCTGCGTGAGCAAAGGGAATGGGGCGTGCAAGACCCCAGGTGTGCAAAGGGACACGTGGGGTCTGCGTGTGCAAAGGGAATGGGGTGTGCAAGGACCAGGACGTGCAAAGAGACACGAGGGGTCTGCATGTGCAAAGGGGACAGGGCGTGCAAGACCCTGGGCGTGCAAAGGGGCGTGCAAAGGGGCACGGGGGTCTGCGTGTGCAATGGGGACGGGGCGTGCAAGACCCTGGGCGCGCAAAGGGGCGCGCGGCGCTCACCGATCTTCATCTGGAAGTTGTTGAAGGAGTGCTCGTTGATGTACTTCATCTGCTCCATGAGGTGCATGGCGTAGTCGGCCAGGGCCGCCACGTGGCTGCGGCCCTCGCGGTCGTAGGTGCTGGCGTTGAGCCCCGACGCCGCCATGTAGGTGCTGCCGATGGTCTTGATCTTCTCCAGCTGCCGGTACTTCTGCTCGCTGATGATCTGGGGGGGGACAGGAGGGTCACCCGGCCCCGGGCACCCTCGTGGCACCCGCCTCGCGGGGTGCGCCCCGCTCATCCCATCCCAGCGCCTCCTCTGCATCCCAGTCCGTGCTGAAGCCCCATCCCATGGTGAACCCCATCCCACAGCAGCTCCAGCATTCCCTACATCCCTTCCCGCCGCCTTCCCTGCATCCCGATCCATCCCGCCATCCCATGCTATCCTGTGCCATCCATTACCATCCATTCCATCCCATCCCATCCCATCCATTCCCATCCCATGTCATCCACCCCACCCCATCCCATCCCACCCCATCCCATCCCACCCCATCCATCGCCATCCCATCCCATCCCCATCCAACCCATCCCATCCCATTCATTCCCATCCCATCCCATCCCATTCATTCCCATCCCATCCCATTCATTCCCATCCCATCCCATCCCACGTAGCATCCCATTCCAAGCTTCTCCAAGCATCCCACGCATCCCGTCCTCGGTCCTTCCCGTGCATCCCAAACCACAGTTCTCCACGCACCCCAAGCCATGGTGAGCCCCACGGCGCATCCCAACTCCCAGAGCTCCAGCACCCGAGGAATCCCACCCTAGGGTCCCCCATACACCCTGACCCACGGCGCACGCAGCTCCCCAGCACCCTCCGCGTCCCATTGGGGACCCCCATCCCGTGGCGCCTCCCTTTCCGCAGCCTCCCCGCGCACCTCGTCGAAGTCGGCGATGATCTCGTTGAGCAGCCGCAGGCACTCGACGCCCTCGTTGTTGGCCTCCAGCTCCACGTAGAACTCGGAGAAGTTGCTGATGGAGGCGAACATGACGGCGACGCACTCGCACGACTGGTAGTAGAGCTCGTCGTTGCGGCGCTCGCGCGCCAGGAAGTGCGCGGCCACGTCCTTGGGCAGGATGTTGTGCAGCAGCCGCCGGTTGTAGGCCTGCAGCTCCTCCATCTCCTCCTTCTCGCCCGTGGCCTGCGGCGGGGCGGGCGCGCTCGGGGGGTGCCCGCGCTCGGGGGGTGCCCGCGCTCGGGGGGCGCTTGTGGCGCAAGGGGGAGCTTGGGGGGCGCGTGCCTCAGTGCAGAGGTGGGACGTGTTCGCTCCCACGCAGCGACTGGGTGGGCGTGGGGTGCATTTGGGGTGCGCTTGCTCCCGTGCAGTGACTGGACAAGTTTGGGGTGCACTCGGGGTCCCCTCACTCCCATGCAGTGGCTGGATGAGCTTGGGGTGCACTGAGTGCACTTGCTCCATGCAGCGACTGGATGAGCTTGGGGTGCATTTGGGGTGCGCTTGCTCCCGTGCAGTGACTGGATGAGCTTGGGGTGCACTTGTTCCATGCAGTGACTTGGTGAGCTTGGGGTGCGCTCAGGGTGCACTTGCTCCCCTGCAGCAACTGGGTGGGCTTGGGGTGCATTTGGGGTCCCCTCACTCCCATGCAGTGACTGGATGAGTTTGGGGTGCGCTCGGGGTGCACTTGTACCCGTGCAGTGACTGGATGAGTTTGGGGTGCACTGGGTGCACTTGCACCCGTGCAGTGACTGGGTGAGCTCGGGATGCATTTGGGGTGCACTTGCTCCATGCAGTGACTGGACAAGTTTGGGGTGCACTCGGGGTCCCCTCACTCCCATGCAGTGGATGGATGAGTTTGGGGTGCACTCGGGGTCCCCTCACTCCCATGCAGTGGCTGGATGAGTTCGGGGTGCACTGGGGATGCACCTGCTCCCCTGCAGCAACTGGGTGAGCTTGGGATGCATTTGGGGTACACGTGCTCCATGCAGCGACTGGGCGAGTTTGGGGTGCACTCAGGGCGCCCTCGCTCCCATGCAGTGACCGGGCGCGCTCAGGGTGCGCTTGTGCCCGCCGTGCAAAGACCAGGCTTAGGCTGCGCTTGGGGCTGCCACGCAGAGACCAGGGGTGCCCGGGGCGCTCACCACCCCCCATGCCAAGCGGACAAGCTCGAGCTGCGCTCAGGGCGCTCTCCCTCCCCTGCTGAGGCCCGGCACGCTCGTGCCACCCTTGCCCACCATGCGGAGGCCGGGCGCACACTCAGCCCCTACACAGAAGCTGGGGGTGCCCGGGGCACCCGTGCCCTCCGTGCAGAGGCCAGACGAGCTCAGTGCACATTTGCCCTCCGCAACCCGGCCCGGGCACGCGTTGGGGACACGCTGGGGACACGCTGGGGCCGCGCTCGCCCCGTCCTACCTGCAGCTTCCAGAGGAAGTCGAGGCGCGCCGTGGACTCGACCTGCTGCGCGTGCAGGTAGAGCGCCAGCGCGAACACGGCCAGCACCACCGGCGTCACGTACTTCAGCGGCACCTTCCCCTCCGCCGCGCTGGGGACACAGCGGCGGCCGCCGGCAGCGCCGTGAGCCGCGGGGACGCCGGGGACGACCCCGCTGGGGCCCAACCCGACACCCCCGGCTCCCCGCTCACCACTGAGCCTGGGTCCCGTTGAGCGCCGGCCTGCGGGGAGGAGAGACGGGGTGAGCGCGGCGGGGCCGGCGGGCACGCGGCGGGGCCGCGGCGCCGGGGACACTCACAGCGCGTTGGCCACCACGAGCAGGTCGTAGTTGTCGAAGAGGGCGGCGTGGGGGCCCTCGGCCAGCAGCAGGTAGGTGCCCCCCAGCAGCAGCGTGAGCAGCAGCTTCCCCGAGCTGCTCAGGTGCAGGAAGACGGAGCAGGCGAGCAGGCTGAGCACCACGCTGTGGCTGAAGTACTGCGGGCGGAGAGGCGGATGCGCCCGCGAGCCGGCACCCGTGGGTGCCCGGGGCACGCCGATGGGGAGAGGGGCACCCCCTGTGTCCGTGCAGGACGTTGCGCCCGCGGGGAACCGCGCTGGTACCCACGTGCGGACCCCTGTCCTGCACCCATGCAGGACCTTGCACCCATGTCCTGCACCCATGCAGGGCCTTGCGCCCATGCAAGAACCTTGCACCCATATCCAGCACCCATGCAGGGCCCTGCACCTACGCAAGGACCTTGTACCCATATCCTGCACCCATGCATGGCCCTGCACCTATGCAAGGACCTTGTACCCATATCCTGCACCCATGCAGGACCCTAGACTCATGCAAGGCCTTTGCACCCATGCAAGACTGGCATCAAACCAAGACCTCGCAGCCTGCAGGAGACCCTTGCTAGCACCCGTGCATGGCCTTGCATGCGCATTCTGCACCCATGCACAACGCAAGACCGCTGCACTCCCGCCCTGCGCTCCTGCAAGCCCTTTGCACCCACCCGGCCCCCCCGGGGCCCCGTCCCGCACCCCGGCGGTCCCCGCACGCACCTCGGGGAAGTGGCAGGCGAGGCCATCGCGGTGACAGGGCCCCGCGGCGCCCAGCGAGTAGTTGAGCGCGCGGAGCTGGCAGGGCCCCACGGCGGCCGGGGTGACGTTGAGCTGGCGCGCGGCGCAGTCCCGCAGGGCCGCGCGGCTGCACGAGAGCTGCACGGGCCAGGGCATGGGGCACGGCGTGAGCGGGACCCCCCCCCTTCCCCGGCACCGCCACCCCCCTCGCGCCATCCCCACCATGTTGGCGAAGGCGGCGACGAAGAGGAGGAGGACGACGAAGACGGCGATGGCGGTGCTGCGGGCGCGCGAGCGGACGATGG